AAGATTCAAGGAGATTTTTCTACACAATTGATGCAGCCCTTAGTGTGTGGATCAAGAAATATTTGGGTGAAGATTCTGAAGCCCACAGACTTCTGAGGAGTATTTAAAGAGAAACCTAAACCTAATGTTTTCACGGATTTCACTTTTGTAAAAATAAGGGGAAGTTTTAGAGTCTTAGTGTTGCAGTGAGAATCAGATGTCAAGCTATTGATTAACTTGAATCGCATATCTTTAAATATTCACCACCGAACTTTGATTTATCCAAAGAAAATGGTAAAGATCGAAGAAAACTTTAAGTGCGTTACGTTACAACGAAGCTAAGAGATTGGGGTTTGGGGGTTGGTTATACTAAGGGAAGGTATTAACACCATAAGTATCTGTAGTACTCTACAGGAGCCTCTTATTTGGTAGTTGTGTTTGAGTTTAATGTCTGTCTGCTAATGGTTGTATGCTAAGGTAAAGACCTATGGGTTTAAAGTAAGTATGCTCGCCAAGAGGTCGCATCACGTGCCTACGTATCCTAACAAGGACGAAATCAGAGCAACCTCAGTTCTCCTAACTAGGGAGAGAACTCTTGACTATGGTCAAGGCTCAAGGGGAATAAGCATCCATAACAATGATACTTATATAGAGTTAACAAACTCTCTAAGTCTATGTTGAAAAGACTAATTGGGGATAGAACATTTGACCATGGTCAAAGTTCCAATGGGAATATGCATCCATAACAATGATACTTATATAGAGTTGGAGCTGCATTGATGGCTACATTATGTGGTTCTTAACCGTCTCACACCTCTACATGGTGCCCACTGCCGAACGATCATGGCCCAGACAAGCTCATCAGCAGATTTTAAAGGAGCAACAATCTCAGTTGGACCGTCCTGAGGGGCCTGATCACAGACGTGTATTGGATGACATCATTGCAGTGTCAGAGGGGACACTTATATACCACAGGCATCATGCCAGGACGGGTGAGATCGATGGCCGAGGATGCAGATCAGGCGGTCGAGGAGGTGGGAGAGGCATAGGCGGAGGAGGGGATGCAGGTGTTGTCAGGCACACACAGTAGTGGCTGTGATGTTTTTTTGATGTACTATATTTTAATGATATTGATGTACTATTTTTTTATGATGGTTATCCCATATTACTTCTTTTATATATATATATATATATATATATATATATATATATATATATATATATATATATATATATATATATATATATATATATATATATATATATATATATATATATATATATATATATATATATATATATATATATATATATATATATATATATATATATATATATATATATATATATATATATATATATATATATATATATATATATATATATATATATATATATATATATATCATATTATTTTATTTACGGATGTATGTCATTTTATATTCATCTGCAATAGTTAATTTCCATCTGCGACCAACAAAACTTATTTTTTTTTTTATAAAAAAAACATGTTCCAATAAAATTTCAGAAATGTATCTCCGGAACTTTTTCGGTAGATGCATATCCAGCATAAAGAAAAAAATAGTGTGTCCGAATATGTATCTCCGAAAACAGGCACTACAAGAAATATTGCATTTTTCCACATGTTTTTTCAGGTCACTAAGCCAAAAAAACACTTCACTAAGCAAAATTTGCGACGTGGGTAAAGCACGTCGGAAAAGCAATGGTGGAAACATTTCCCCATGTGAAAATCATGTCACTAATTTGTGACATGGGATTCACGTCGCAAACAATCAAAATAATAGAAAATGTTCCCACGTGAAATTCAAGTCACTAATTAGTGACATAATTTTCACATGGGAAATCACCTTTCCCAAAATGTCTGCAGCACGTTATGCCTGACATCAATGAAAATGTTTCCATGTCACTAATTAGTGACGTGGTTTTCATGCCACAACTAAAAATCTATTTTATATTAGTGACTTTTTTTTCACTTCACTGTATAATTTAATAATAATAAAAATAAATATTAATGAAAACAACGAAGTAATAAACAATAAAATAAAAAATTAAAATAATTTTCAATTAAATTTTTTTTTAAATATATACATTAAAAAAATATAAATATTTAGTCACATAATATTCACGTCACGAACATAAAAAATAAAAATAAAAATTGTCACGTAATTTTCACGTCACAAAAATAAATAATAATAAAAAAAAGTTATTCATCGTCAGTACTAAATATAGCATCTCCGTCTTCTTCATCATTTTGGACAGAATAATTTGATTGTGAGGCAAAAAATTGTCGCATTGTGCCTCCATGTCGGATTGCCGCTTCCTCATTTCCTCCATTTCAGCATTTTGTTTATTTCTCATATTCTCCATTTCGGCCTTTAGGACCGCCTCACGTGCCTCCACCTCTCATCTCGCCTCAGATAGAGCTAACCATCTCAATGTTGTCAACATTTCTGGTGTCGATTCTGCCTGACGAGATCCTCCTTCCCATCATTGAGTCTTTGAAATAAAGTTCAATCCCTTTTTTTATAATCGCCAGCCAAAGACCCAAGACCAAAAAAACATCCATTGACTCCCTTCCCGCCTACTATTAAATTCCAAATATAAAGATCGACACGTGGATCAAGCGGTGCATTCCCAATCGACATATATTGAGGATTTTCAGTTAGAAATTGGGCAAGCAAGGTCTGATACAACTCCTACACACATATTAAAAAAATTAAATTAAATATAGTTTAAACAATTTAATTATATACAATAATTATGAAATAAAATAATTCAACTATAAACAAGTTACCAAGGTTGATTTGGAACAGCCATCAACAAACTCCCCCGATTTTTTGGTTTGGGTCTTCACAAATAGCTCATTAATTCATGGCTCCCTCCCCAAATCATTTTTCTAATTAAAATAATGAAGTTTAGTTAAATATATAATAATACAAAATAGAACTTAAAAAAATAGTTATAATTACCATTCGTCGACGATGTTCGCCGATACTAATACTTCCAATTGTACTAAGACAGTCACCTGCTTCAGATGCCCTCATCTTTTTAGCATGTTCAGATCTTCTTTGAAAATCTTCTGTCTTCTACCACTCAATAAGTTCCCCAAATATTTCCCCGCCTATCCAGTTAGGACGAGTTTGACCTCTTTCCCAACGTTGTCTAGCATTCCTAAACATGTCAGATAATCTGCTAGATACCTTACTTCTAAAATAACATAACTATAATAAAAATACAATTTACCTTGAATTTATCAAACCATATATCTTTCTCAGTATCTGGGAGCTCTCTGAAAGACTTAACGAGTTTTGTATACATCAATTGAATGACCTAGTTTACAGCAGGCCGACACGGATCAAAACTAAACAACAATTATTTGAATGAGTATTAAACATAAAATGATAATATATATATATATATATATATATATATATATATATATATATATATAGTTAAATAAATATTATAAATTAAAAACATACCCAGATCCCTCAGGCCTAATCAGATGTCATCCTTCAACCACCAAAAGCTCCCCTGCAATATGATTTGTCTGCTCCTCATGAACATCGTCATCCTCCTGAATAGGGTGGTCATCCTGCTCCTGACACGCAGGTATATGTGTAGGGTGTGGAATGCGGGAGCCAGATCCCCCTGGCTGGTGCATGGAGGGAGTTTGCTGAGGAAAACTAGATCCTACAGGCTGCGGCGTGAAGGAATATTGCTGAGGAAAACCAGATCCCCTAGACTGTACGAAGGGAGTCTGCTGAGGAAAACTAGATCCCTCAGGCTACTGTGTGAAGGAATAATGCTGAGGAAGAAAACTAGATACCCCGGGAAAACTAGATCCCCCAGGCTGTTGCGTGAACGTAGACGGTACCTGGGGAAAATTAGATCCCCTAAGAGGATGCATGAAAGATCCCCCAAATGGACTAATAAACGATGATTCCCAAACAGAACCGTTTGGGAGGAGGAGAGTAATGTCGTAAATGGCTGTGAAGTTTCTACGGACATTAGATCTGTCTGAGTCTGTGAGCAAGAAGCATACATGGGCGAGGGAGGTACCTCACGTACTCTAGCTCTCGAACAGGGATGGGTCTCCTTAGCCTTACCCTTGTCAGTTTGGGGTGGCATTGTATCTATTTTGAAAGAGTTATCAATAAATAGATCAAGACTATTATCAACACAATATATACACATAAAAATCATTTGCATTCATATAAAACAAATTATACATTAATAAAAATTGTTCGAACACATATAAAAACTATCTATTCAAACTCTTCATGCTCTTCATCCATATTATTTTCATCATCTGATCCAATAATGTCCTCATATCCAAACTCTTCATGCTCTTCATCCACATTATTATCTACCAACAACACAAATGCATCAATTTGACGACCCTCGGCCAATGTATCACACAAATTTGTAATTTCTTCAACTTCAACCACATAATTAATTTAAGAAATTTCATCATCTTGGTAAGTAGCATCTTCCACTAGATCTTCTGTTTCAATATGACCTAATGGTTTTATTTTGATTACAATACACCATCCATGTTTACGTGACTGAATTGAAGGGTACGAAACATAACAAAATTGTTTAACGATATGTGACATTATGAAAGGGTCATACTCTTTGTACCTTCTGTCGATTCGAATATCAACAGTGTTATATTTCTTTTCTGTTTTTGTGCCCCTGGCAGATGGATCATATCAATCATAATAAAACAAGACAACTCTATTTTCCGAGTCCAAGTAATTGTATGCCAACTCGTAAATATGCATAACAACACCATAGAAGTCATCTTCACTGCCATCTATAACTCCTTTAACAAATACACCACTATTTATGGTTTTTTTCCCTTCTGTCCAAGCCTAGGTGTGAAATTTATAGCCGTTCACAAAGTATGTGTGCCATTTAATTGCTCTTTTAACAGGGCCTCTAGATAAGTTTCTCAAATGAAGTATTTCTTGAGTCGGTGCAACAATGCATGACAATTAATCCTTGAACCATGCTGGAAAAGATGCATGTATGTGACCGGTAGTTGCTTGTTCACCGATGCTTTGAAAATAGGAGACGTTAAATGCGCTATAAAGAAACATACTATTAGTTAGAATGTAATAATTCAATTTGTAAAGCCAGATAGGTAGTTATGTTAATGGTATACTTACTCAAGATATGGCCTAACTTCAATACAGTTAATTAGAACATGAACATGTGCAGATTGCAATTCTTTTTGGGTCAGCCAATGCACATTCTCCTTTCCAGAGGGGCGACCGGGAAGACCGAAGATTGACAAGGTAAACTGAATTCTTTTGTTAACATCAAATTCATTCCTTATGATTCTTTGAGTTAACATCAAATGATTGAAATAATGACTGCAAAAATGTGATGTTTCCTGATGCAAGTAATGCACACATATTGATCCTTCAACTTTAGCTTTATTTTTCAATGATCGCTTTGAATCACCCATGAATATTTCAAAGGGATACATCCATTTATATTAAACAGGGCCACCAAGATAGGCTTCATATGCAAAATGAACAGGTAGATGCTCCATAGAGTCGAAAAAACCAGGTGGAAAAACTCATTCCAACTTGCATAGAATAATTAGAATATTTTGGTCCAACTTAATGATGCTATCGACTCTTAAAGTTAACGCACAAATATCTCTTAAAAATTGACTTATTTCAATTATTGGATATAACACATGGTTGAGTAGTGAACTGAACGCAATTGGAAGCAATCGTTCCATGAAAATATGACAATCATGACTTTTCATTCCATGCAACTTCCTAATTTTGGTGTCAGCACACCTTGCTAAATTTGAAGCATAACCATCTGGAATTCTCAATTCATTTAACCATCGACAAACCGCTTTAGCATCTTGGGAAGTTATACTGTAATAAGCCTTAGGTTTTAATAATTTTCCATTAGGTCGAGGCTTCAACTCCAACTCTTTTCTATCACACAAAATTTCCATGTCCCTTCTAGCCTTCTCATTAATATGCATAACATCAAGATTATGTCGCAATAAATTATCTTTCCAATATGGGAGGTCCCAAAATATACTTCTTTTTGTCCAATTGTGTTTGACCCCATATCCTTGAATTATGCATGCTTCACCATAATCTGTGTATTTTGGCAGTTCAGAAACTCGATTCTATATTTCCTCTGGTGACAATCGTGGAGGAGGCAAATCTTTTACTCGTACATCTTTTTTAAAATCAGTCTTGTTTCTTCTAAAGACATGGTCTCATGGTAGGAATCTGCGGTGACAGTCAAACCACAAACTTTTCCCTCCAAATTCCAAAGTAAAAGCCTTTGTGATTCCATGCAATATGGACATCCCATTTTGCCATGTGTACCCCAACCAGATAACATTCCATAAACGGGAAAGTCATTAATAGTCCACATCAAGGCAGCTCATAAAGTAAAGTTTTGTTTGTGAGATATATCATAGGTCCATTCTCCAATCCACAACCTCTTCAAATCATCTATTAAGGGTTGTAAATAAACGTTGATTCCGACTTTAGGACTTTACGATCCTGGAATGAGGCAAGTTAAAAACATGTATGGTTTTGACATGCACATCTCTGGAGGGAGGTTGTAAGGGGTTATGATAACTGGCCAACAGGAATATGCAATTGTAGATGCTTGGACGTATGGAGTAAAACCATTAGAGCATAGTCTGAGTCTGTCATTTCTAGGTTCTGCAGCAAAATCAGAATGTACCCTATCAAAATGTTTCCATGCCTCACCATCATATGGATGCCGCATAATGCCTGAACTTGTTTTGTTCGTATGATGCCATGTCATTTGACTTGCAATGTGCATTGAAGAAAATAATCTTTTTAACCTTGGTATTATCGGCAAATAAAATATGGACTTCACTGCTATACGTTTTTGTTTACGGTTAATGGCTTTACTACGAACTTGATATCTCGGACTCTGCCGACCCCTCAGACAATAGTGTATTCATTTCTTTCAATAATTGGTAAAATATTTGTGCTTCCTCATTCGGAAACTCTTCCCCATCAAAATCCCGAGGTTCATCATATGTCACATTTACTCCAAATGCATTGCCAACCATATCATTGATCAAATAAAATTATTCCTCAAATTCCATATGTGATCGACTGCTTGATGTGTGTGTATTACTTATCTCTGCATGTACATTACTCGACAGTTGTTCTCCATTATATGTCCAAACCCAATCATTTTTAATGAAACCCTTCCTCTTCAAATGACGCTCTACTTCCTCTGAGTCACTAATTATAGGTCTACATTCACATTTAAGACAAGGACATCTCACTCCTCCTTCACGTCGACAACATTCTTGACGTTCTACTTCCTCTAGGTCACTAATTATAGGTCTACATTCACATTTAAGACAAGGACATCTTACTCTTCCTTCACGTCGACAACATTCTTGTGCAAATGCCAACGTGATAAACCCCTTAACTCCTTTCTCAAAATTTGGTGTAAGTCCACGTCTGCCTGGTAATGTTTTATCGTACATCCAACTACGATAGCAACGAAAATATTCCATACTGCACATTTGTACTATCATTATATATCATTTTAATAAAATATGTGATTTTAATATGCAAAATAATATAATTCTTTTCACATTATTTTAACCTAATAAAAATAAATTTAAATATTTTTAAAAATTCTATTTTTTCTAATATAATATATATTATGTTTACTAAAATATAATATATAATATGTTTATTAAAAATTAACACATTTAAAATATAATATATACTCATTATTTTTAAAAATCTATTTTTTCTAAAATAATATAAATTATGTTTACTAAAATATAATACATATTCTAAAATATAATATATAATTTGTTTACTAAAAATAACACATTTAAAATATAATATATATTCTTAATTTTTAAAAATCAGTTTTTTCTAAAATAATATATATTATGTTTACTAAAATATAATATATATATATATATTCTATAATATAATATTCTAAAATATAATATATAATTTGTTTACTAAAAATAACACATTTAAAATATAATACATATTCATTATTTTTTAATAAAAATACTTCTATTTTTATATATTTACAATTTTGTTTTCTAATCTACTTAACTTTATGTTTTTAAAAAAATAATTTTTAATTTTTTCTATTTACAATTTTGTTTACTAAAAATGTTTTTAAAAATTCTGTTTTTTCTAATATAATATATATTCTGTTTTTAATTTTAAATACATATTTAAATACAACAACCCAAATAATATATATTTTGTTTAACTTTATTTTTCTAATATATATTCTGTTTTTAATTCTAAAAATATATATTTTGTTTCTAATATAATATATCTTCTAATATTTTTAATTTTATCTTTCAAACACCCAAACAATATTACATATTTAATTACAACAACAACAAATTACTAAAGTTTTATAATCAATAACCAAACATTTCATATATACCTATAAATCTGATAAATAAATAAATTTAATTACGTAACTACCTCAATGGAGCAAATTTTTAAAACTTTATCTTTCAAATCTTCTTGAATCTTCCAAATCTTAATCTTCTGGAAATAAAAATAAAAATTTAATAATAAGAAAAAATTAAAATAAAAACAAAAAAAAGAAAGTAACATTTACCTGCAAATATTTGTGAAGCTGTGATGCAAAAATGGAGGAGAGGAACACGCAGAAGGAAGGAGGAAGAAGGAAGAAGGAAGGAAAAAGGAAGAGAAATGCATGAAGGGATCAGTTCTGAGTTTTGAGAATATATAGTCACATTTGCGACGTGGTAGACACGTGGCAAAGTACCCATGTGAACACCACGTCGGAACCCTAAAAAAATACTCCTATTTGCGGCGTGATTTCAACATGGGAAAGTTGCCACGTGAGATGCACGTTGTAACACCCTTTTCTACCCCACAATTATTATGGCAAAATAACAGATATATCAGAGTAAATAAGTAAATCTCATAAAAGCCACCAAAATGGCGTATATTTCCCAATGTCATCACAGTAGGTCAAGACTCCGTAAACAACGGGTTTTCCCTAAAATACATCAAACAACATAAAACAGCAAAATTCAAAGGCATAAGTCAAGGTTTCTTCATCAGGGAAAATAAGCAAAATAACTCAACGATATAAAGTTTAACTCAAAGAACCCAACCCGATGTTACATATCAGAGCAAGACCCTCTAAGTTAACCATAAAGGCTAACGACTCTAAACTTCAAAAATACTCCTCGACGGCATCCACGGCTAAACTTGGTCATCTACACGTTACCCACGTGGAGGTAACATTCAAATAAGCAGGGTGAGTAAAACAATTCATAATAATCAATGTATGAAAATCAACATGTAATGGCATCATAATCATATTCAACAATTAATGTTCCTCAATATGCCTCAAAGGACACAACGTCATAATTCATACAAAAAGACTCATACACTATACCAAAAAGGACCTTTAGCAGCGCTTTTTTTGGCCTTTAGCAGCGCTTTAAAGCGCTGCCTAAAGTGGCGCTGCTAAAGGTAAAGGTAGCGCTTTTTTTATGGAAAAGCGCTGCTAAAGGCTCCCTTTAGCAGCACATTTAACTGCGCTTTTTTACCCCTTTAGCAACGCTTTTGAAAGCGCTGCCTATTCCCCCCCCCCTTTAGCAGCGCTTTTAGAAGCGCTTTCTTTGACCCCCCTATAGCAGCGCTTTCTTTGACCCCCCTATAGCAGCGCTTTATTAGCACTCTCTCTATCCCCTTTAGCAGCGCTTATACATAAAAGCGTTGTCTAATGTGCACGATTTGGAAATTTTTTTTCTTTCTGAATAATCACATTTTATATATATTTTTCAATAAACCTGCTTATATTACATTCCCTGCTTATATAATTCAGCCTTTTATTTCAACACTTTGGCCTTATATACACAATTCAACACTTTGGCCTTTAAGTATATATACATTGTAATTCATCACTTTGCCCATAATAACAAATCCGTTAACTTTACATATAATTACAACATCACAAATCCGGTCAATTTACATATAATTACAAATCCGTTAACTTTACAAATAGATACGAATTATACAATTATACCATTCTCAACTCAAGAATAAATTGACACCATTCTTCCTTAATTTCTTCCAATCTTACCTTCGAGTAAGTACCGCACTTGAATTCATCAAAATACTACATAATATAACAGAACATGCACAATTTAGTTTTAAAACTAATTACTCAGATGAAATATCGGTTAATTATCAAAATGAATCATATAACTTATGAATTGATCCATACCATGATTGGAATCTCAATTTGACTAGAAAGAATAATTTCCTTCATAAAGCGCAATTCAAAATATCCGCAGTTAATCTCATTGCGCTGACGAGGACACTCTAAATGGAAAAAACAAACGAACATTTATCAGGATATATAGTTTAAATAGTTTGATCAAGTAGAACCACTATAACAGTCAAACATGGGAAAATATACCTCCACTCTGATCCAACTGATGTTGTTAGCCTTACTTTTTCGCACTGTTGCATCTCTTTGTGCTCTGAATATTTGTATAACTCTAACATAATATAAACGCATATTTAGAACAATGTCACATAATAAATAAAGATATATAATTATTCAGAACAGTATATCTCATCACTTACGTATCAACCATGTTCTTCAGATTTTCATATTTATTTGTATCGCCATCCAATGAATCTATATAATAGACTATTTCTTTCATCAGATTAATCGCGACCAACAACCAGTGTCCACTATAAAATAAGACAACAGTTTAGACGAAAATTTTATATAGAAAAAATTGAACAATTATAATAAATGAATTTAGAATAAAATCTAACCCATGTCCGGTATTGTATGACAACAAGAACAACTTCTCCGTAGTCGCGCCCATAAATCTCTAGACTGCGTACTCTTTGACTGTATTTGGTGTCTGGTCTATTATCCGTGAGTTGATACAGCTAGCAGATAAGAATGCGAATATTGAAGTCAAATCATTCGGGACCAACAACTTGTCATACAAGAGCCTAAAAAAAACATAATCAACAATAGAATATTCAGTTAAACGAGCAAATTTTAAAATGTTCAATTATTTAAATAAAATGCATCGGAGTACCTGATGTAGGAATGCATAACACCGACGCCCAACTCAGAATGTGTGAAAACCTGGTCAAAATCCTCTTTAGCAATTGTTTCGGGATATTCAAAACCGAAAATACCTTCCTGCATAGGTATTTGACGGATGCCACCCTCAGGCACATCTTTTGTTCCTACTAGTGTTTCAAGACACATCCTAAATCGAGGAACAAATGCTTTTTTTGGCTCGACCTTTTTTTTGCTGGGCACCTTGGAAGTTTTAGGCATCTTACCCTTGCTGACTTGTTGCGACTGCTGATCATGAACCTAAAAGTCATATATAAGTTCAGTAATTAATGTATATTAAGATAATCATGTAACTGTAGTAGTACCTGTTTCTTTGATGCAGCTGAATCGGTATCCCGCACAATAATTCTATCATCTTTTGATTTGGATTTTGAGGGAGTCTAAGATCATCATGTAAATAAGAAAACGTAAATGTAAGAATAACTTTCATGTACGGTCATAAAACATTTGAATATTACAAGGTTCAACCTACCTCATCATCTAGGAAAATGAGATTTGCCGGCCATGCAACATACGCTCTTATTGCGTCTCCCACCACTGTTGCGTCTGAAACATCATCCTGTATAGGCAACAACGCTCCCCCCCTCTAACGCAATATCAACCGATACTTCAAAAATCCAGCAGGGAGCGGTTTATGGTGAAGTAAGTCTCCCAGAGTGTTATGCACCTTTCCCTTGGCAACCATGCGATAAATCGGTGACGATAAATATAGCCGACAAGGTGAAATGCCCTAAACAAATAATGATCAGTTACTGTGTCAATTAAGAAAACTGTGCTAAATTAATTTTAATGTAATATATACAATTACGTATCTCTGGAAGCTTCTGCGGACAACCGATACTATCTTTGTCACTAGTAGCCTTACCCTCTGGAGCGCGCCTTTCCGCCATGTATATCATATTAAACCATCTATATCAAATATCAAATATCATATCTATATCTCATACTTTACATCAACAACAACAACAAAAACAATAAGTCAAATAATATTAAACCATCTATATCAAATATCAAATATCAAATATCATATCTATATCTCAATAACACTAAAAACATCAAATATCATATATCAAATATTAAATTTACTTGCATGTCATCAAACCTTAATTACTCAAATATCATATTAAACCATCTAAATCAAATATCAAATATCAAATATCAAATATCATATCTATATCTCATACTTTACACCTCTATCTATATCAAATATCAAATATCAAATATCATATCTATATCAAATATTAAATTTACTTGCATGTCATCAAACCTTCAATGCAAAACAACACTAAAAACAATAACGGAATAACACAAAGAGACAATAACACTAAACCTTCAATAACTCAATAACACTAAACCTTCAATAAAAACAACAACAAC